AAAATAAATAAGTTCTAAAAAAAAAAAAAAAAACAGCCCAGTGTTCACCAGTTGTACCAAAGACATTCTAGAGCCCAACATTCTCCACTTCTGTTATCTAAAAGTACCTTAAGGGGCTGGGAATGTAGCTCAAGAGCCCAAGGCCCTGCGTTAGATCCTAGCATTGCAGATAAGTAAGTCTGTGTCTTGCTCTCATTTTTGAAGGTTGTTTTCCCTAGAAATAGAAATCTGAACTGATTTTTTTTCTCGCAGCAATTTAAACCCCCTTCCCCCATCTCCCGGCTCCCACAATCTGCATGAGCAGTCAGACACCTGGCCCTGTTTGCAACGTGTGTCCAAGCTACAGAACCCTCAAAACTGTGCCCAAATCATTGGCTTGCAGTATATTGACTGTTAGATCCCTGGGTGTGCTTTTGCTGGGGGTTTTCTTTGTTTCATCCCACTACATTTCTGCGGTCTCTAGGTTGATGCTTTTCATTGAGTTTGGGATACTTTGCGAAGCAGGGAAATAACGAAACTTGGAGAGAAGGAACCACGAGTCCCCTGCACTGGCCCCTCAAGTTCATACGGTCAGAGTCCCGACCCCCAACATCACTGCATTCAGGAACAGGACCCTCAGGAGACGGCAGCAGTCAGTGGAGCCAGAGGCTGCGGCCCTCGCTCGTAGGGCCGTGCCCTGTAGAGCAGACAGGAGACCCCACAGAGCACTCTCGGTGCCATCCCACCCTGCCTCCTTGTGCAGACAGCACAGGCTGCCGCCCACAGCCGGAAGAGACCCCTCAGCAGCACTGAGGGGCAGGCACCTTGGTCTCGGGCCAGAGCCCGCAGAATGATACAGGGACTTGTCTGTCTGTGGCGCTCTGTTCTGGCAACCAGAGCAGCATCCAGTCACAGGCTGAGCCCACTGAGCTGCAGCCGGGAGCCAGTGTTGGCGCGACAACCACAGGAAGCTCGCGTTGCCCCCCAAGACCCTGACAGGGCAGCACTGGGCCCCCAAAAGTCTGTCCCTGGGGACCCTGTGGAGCCAGACTGAAGGGGCACGTGGGGGTGGCCTTGGGCCTGGGAGGGCCTTTCTGGGGTCCTGAGGGTCAGCAGCGTCTCTCTACTCTCTGCAGGGCTGAGCCCCGCTGCCCGGCACTGTTCCACCCTGGGTCCTGCCCTCCTGCCTCCCCTACCCCACAGGCAGCTATCCCTGCACGTGAGGGGGCAAGCTGACCCTGATCTGGATGGAGATCACCTCCAGCCCCTGCCTGATGCCCAGCACCAACTGGTAGGGAACACCGGGCACTCAGACGGTAATTGTGCCAAGTTATGGGGTGAGAGGGTGTGACTGGGCTCTGTGTCAGGGCAGCTAGAAGGACCAGGGCTGGGCAGGGGGTGCTGGTGGAGGCACTGGGCATGGGGCTGTGGGTCTGAGCCCTGGGAGAACCCGGAGGAGTGAAGTGGCGCCTTTCATTTGCGAGAGCGTGGAAGCTGCACACGAGCCCAGGCTTTTTTGTTTGTTTACTTATGATACAGGGTCTCACCACACAGTTCAGGCTCGTGGTGATCTTTCTGTCTCAGCCTCCCAACTGCTGGGACTACAGATGTGCGCCACCACCCCCAGTTCCAGGCCCACAGGGCTTGCCTGGGATTCTAGGGACAGCACGGCATGTGGTACTGGGGATCGAACTTGGGACCTGCAGCTTGCCAGACAAGCACTTATGCCACTGAGCTACCTCCCCAGCAGAGCCTGGTCTTGTTTCTGTTCATGCAGGGCCTAGCCTGGGGCCGCCTCAGGTTCCTGGGCATAGGACAACGACTGCCCAGAGTGGGGGCGACCGGGGGACCCACAGAGTGAACTGAGTGGGGCTCAGTGGAGGTGCTGGGGACAGGGCACAGCCGCTGTGTCCACCTGGGGCAGACCAGTCCCCAACACCCACCTGTCATCCTTACCCGCCCCAGGAAAGACACTTGGGCCGCAAGTGTGGCAGTGGGTTTTATTGGGGTAGGAGCAGGTAGCCCCCAGGCAGCGCAGGAGAGGCAGGGCCTGGGCAGGAGCTGCTCTACACCGACCCCTGCGTACAGAAGGGCAGCGCTCAGGGCTCGGCAACAGGCCTCCCCTCCTCCTTCTCCCCTCCAGCTCTGCCCCTGGGGTCTCCGATCCCCAGGGGCATGGTCCAGCTGCTGTAGCCAGAGGGGCAGCTGGCCCGGAGGGGACGCCAGAACCCTCTTGACTTAAGGGCCTCAAAGTCACCTGGTTCTGAGCTCAGATCTGCCTGAACTCCCTGCCCAGCTTCCTGGAAGACCCCAGACCCCCTGGGCTTAGCTGTTTCCTATCTGCTAGGAAAGACTGAGTAGACAAAGCCCTTCCCCCAGGGGACCCATGCACCCCAGACTCAGGAGAGGGTGACTCACCTGCAGCGCTGTCACGCAGGCCACTGGAGATGAGAGCAAAATGGTGAGGTGCAGGGAAGGGGGGCAGGCCCAAGGCACCCCCATCCCTGGGAGGCCCGGACCCCAGTGAGGGCCACTCACTGTCACGCTGCAGCAGGTGGAAATCTGGCTCTTGGAACCCGTGCTCGCGGGCCACCTTGCGGAACTTCTCCAGGGCCTTCTCATTGTTGTCCAGGCTCCGGCCTGCGGGCAAGAGTCAGGTCCGGGCTTGGGGACAGGCACACAGGTCCATTCACACATCCCCAGGTGCTGCCCTGCCCCACAGCCCAGGGACAGCAGGGCTTGGACCCCCAGAAGAGCCTGCCTGGCCTAACTGTAAAGCTTCAAGACTTGATGCCTGATGCCATTCATCGTGAAGTGGACGTCCATGACAGCGTAGGTCTTGTAGTCAGTGCCCAGAACCCGGACCTCTTTGTTTCCTGGGAGGTTGAGCCAAAGAGCAAACACCATGGGGTTCTAAGTTACACACACACACAACAGCACACGAATAGGCACACCAACTCAGAAGCAGACACACAACTTACATACCAAGCACACAAGCATGTGCCACCAGTGCACATGCACACACAAGCACGTGCACAGCAACACGGCCTGGGAGCAGCAACTTTACCACCCTCCCTGACGATGGTGAATGTCCCTGGAACGACCTTCTTTATGGCTGTGGTCTTCTCCACCACGCAGTGCTCCTCACTAGAAGAGCAGGAGATGCCACTGAGCAGCTGCCCCCGAGCACCAGGCCCTGGGCTCGGCACCCAGAGAGCGTGCAGTAGGCAGAGACGCCCAGATAGGAGGCTTTGCTGACAGTGGGCCGACAGCAGGCAGGCAGGCCCCAGACGGTGAGGAGCACCCAGGGGCCCAGGCTGAGTCCCACTCCAGGGCCACCCTGGTCCCACTCTCTGAGGTATGGACATGAATGGAGGCCCCAGGGCCGCAGACACACACCAGCACCCCCTCCTTCCCCCCGGCCCAGCCCCAGCCCAGCTCACTAATGCGCGGCTGTCAGAACCAGGGAACTGTTCTCCAGCTGGAGCATCACAGCCCCTATCTTCTCCACCTTGGGGGCCTTGGTGGGGGCCCCCGCCTTGACAGCGAAGGCGATCTCATACCACAGGCCTGCAAACTGGACATAGAAGGAGGGAGCTGCCCAGTCGCCCCACCCTCCAGGGTCCAGGTCCCTGATCAAGCCCTCTTCCGCGGTTCCAACAGCTAGGGATGAGCCAGGGACGAGAGGCACCCTGGGCAGGGACAATCCCACAGGGCAGCATGAGGGTGGGCCCAGAACCCACGGCCACCTTAAGAAAGTCGAAGTCCTTTATCGCATGCTCCTCTGAGGCAGCCACCAGCCCTGTGCACAGCCACAGCAGGGCTAGGGTCACACTGCCCTCCATGAGCCAGGAGGAGCCACTGCACCAGCTGGGCAAAGCATGCAGGCCCCAGGCTGAGCAACGGACTCTGACTTTATATCCTGTTGTGGGCGCATGTGGGGCACAGGCTGGCTCTCCTTGGGCAGCTGGCGGCACAGGATGGACCAGCTGGGCGGCTTGCCCACGCCTGCACCATCCTCACCTCACAACCCTGCCCACGCATCCAGCCGCACAGGAGGCACTGAAACCAAGGAAGGCCCCTGCAGGCCCAGGACATGGACACAGACAGCCTGGGGGTTGCTGGGCACACACTGGTCAACCTCACAGGCATGCCAGGCCCCAGGGCATTCCGGGCAGCGGGGGACAGCTGAGGACACAGGCGCCACACATGGCTGCTCAGCCTTCTGTGTCTGAGAGCAGCGAAGGGACCAGAGTGGGCCAGACACCAGAACGGACCCCTCGTCCCCTGTCTGGTGCTTTAAGAACTGCTAAGCAAGAGCGGTGGCAAGAACGGAGCCCACCCACCCTCCTGGCATCTTGCCCCTCACCACAGGGTCAGGCGCTGGCTCTGAGGCACAGAACACCTGCCGTTCATGCAGCAAAGGGACAGCTGCGTGACCCCAGCCCCCAGGTGACAGGCCAGGCCCTGACCTCTCTGGGCACAGACAAGAGACACAAGAGACAGGGACTTGTGAGCACCCCATGGAGAGTGCAGAGGGAAGAGAGTCGGGAGAGAGACAGGCTGAGAAGAGAAATGGGGAGGGCCAGAGACAGATTAGGAAGAGGGAGAGCGTGAGACACAGGAGAGAAGAAATAGGGAGACGGAGAGAGATGGGAAAAGGCAGAGAGAAAAAGAGACAGAAAGATGGGGGAGGGAGAGACAAGAAGGACCCACAGAGGTGGTGCCTGGGGCCAGGGGAGGTCGTGGGTGATTGGGCCACAGGGCAGGGGCAGGATCCCTGGCTGACCTGGCCCAGCACTGGCTGCCCAGCCTGGTGGTGGTGCTCGCCTCCATCCTAGCCTCCCCAAGTATGGGGTCCTCTCAGAGTTCCTCAGAGGGCCATGCTTTGTGTGTGTCAATCAAAGGCATGGCGGGCACAGTGCCCCAGCACGGCCCCTGCGAGGGTCCACAAGGTCTGTCCAAGAGAGCAGGGGGACACAGGACCACAGGTGGCCTTCCAGGCCCTGCCCCCTCTCCAGCCAGCCAGTCTCTGCCACTGTCACTCTAGGCCATCTCCAAACACAGCGTGGGCCCAGGCATGGGCCTGGCGACCACTCGGGTGAGCGTCCCCCAGCCTTCTTGCCCACCTGTCCAGCAGGGATGAGGCAGTTCATGCATGACAGATGCGGACACTAGCACAGTCACTGTCCTGTGCCCTCTCATCCCCACAGCCCTGCTGCCCAGAGTGGTGATGCGGGGGCCACAGCCCTGAAAGGAGTGGGGCTGAAGCGTCCTGGGGACAGGTGCCCAGGCCACCATCCTGGAACAACACACTGCTGTGTCCACCTGGGGCACACAGATCCCCTGCCACCCTCGGCCCCGCCTCCAGGAAGGACACTTGGGCACAGAGGTGATATCCAGTGGGCTTTATTGTGGGCAGGGCAGGAGAGGCAGGTCGGCAGGTCCAGCTGAGGCCTGGGCAGGAGTTGCTCTAAATGAGCCCCTGAACACAGAAGGGTGGTGCTGAGGGCAAGGGTGGCCCCAGGGCACAGGGACAGCGGTGAGCCCCACATGGAGACACACATGGTCTTCCTGCCCAGGGCAGGGCCTGGGGCCCCAAGGACCACCAGGGTCGCATGGGGCCTAGGACAGCAGGCTGGAGACGCCACTCACCTCCTTCAGAAGCTTGGCACACCTCCCTGTGGACAGGCCAGCATGAGGGCAGGCAGGAGGGCCCCCACCCAGCAGCCTCCTGGAGCACCCGCACCCACCATGCCGGGCCACCAGGTAAAGGCCAGTGTCTGCTGTCATCTCCCGGAACTTCCTGAAGCCCAGCTCATCCTCATTCTCCAGACTCCGAGCTACAAGCACAGGGAGCTGCTGGGTGGTCCAGGACGCACAGGGCGGAACCCCCCACCCCGTGGAGCTTACTGAAGTACTTGATCACGTGGAAGTCCTGTCCCCGCCACAGCAGGGACAGCCGCAGAATGGCGTAGTGCACGTAGTCCGTATCCAGCACGTGCATCTCCCTGTGACCTTGGGGGGCAGGGGGTGTGCAGACACGGCACCCTGATAGGGGGTGCCCAGAGGCCACCCTCCCCTGTCCCAGGCCTGAGAGCAGCTGTGATGCTGGCGTGGGGGGTCCCGAGGAGCCCGGCCACAAGGCACAGCAACGGGGGACAGGGCTGCAGCCACAGGGAATTGCACGTACCAGGAAAAGCAAATCCTGCAGGGTCGCTCTCTGAGCCCACTGTGGTTTCTGTCTCACAGCTTCCCGAGCTGAAAGGCGGTACTGTGCCCATTAGGAACCTGCCGGCCGGCACCCCACCCACTGGGCAGGTCCCCCACCCCCAGTGAGGCCAGTGGCCTCGGGCTCCTCCTGGGTAGTAGGGGGCAAGGCCAGGGGGTGGGGCAGCCCCTCATGCCTCTCTTCCACATTTCCAGGACTCCAGCAAACCCCAGGCTTGTATTTGGGAGGAAATGCAGACTGGGCACTTGGGGGGGCCGGGCAGGTGGGCATGAGCAAAGTGGGGGACACCTAGTGCCGATCCCACGGCAGGCCCAGGCCTCTCACTTGTTAAACACGACCTTCACAATCAGGTTGCTCCCGTTCACGGTGAGGAACACCCCCTCTGCCCTCCTCGGGGTCTTCAGCGCCAGGTTCTTGTCCGAAGCCACACCAACTTCCCGCCAGAATCCCCCAATCTAGGCAGAGAGCTGGAGCTGCCGGAAGCTTGGAGCAGCCAGCTGAGGCCCTGTCCTGGGATCCAGGGACACCATAGGGACCCCTGGGCAGAGAGCTGGTGGGCTTTGAGGGGACAGAAGACGGTCACAAGGCTTAGCAACAAGGCAGCAAGGTGTCCCGAAGTTGCTGGGCTTGGTGGTGCACACCTGTAATCCTAGCACTCAGGAAGCTGAGGCAGGAGTACTTCGTGTTCAGTGCCAGCCTGGGCTACACAATGAGGCCCCAACTCAAAAAAAAAAAAAAAAGGAGTGCTAGAAGCGGCTTCTCCCACCAGTGTCTCCTCCTAAGGTCTCCCTTGAGGGGATGAGACAGAAGCACCCTCCCATTCCATGTCCCAGGAGCAAAACCCTGCAGCTTCCTAGCAGGGCAAGGAGACTAGACAGAGAGCAGCGTGCAAGAACCACCTCGGCACGTGGCAGGGTGCCAGAGCCTGAGGCTGCCCAGTGGCCCTGCTCTGCCGGTCCCTCCAGGCCAGCCTCCTAAGTCAGTACTCGCCTGAGCCTGGGGCTTTGGCAGAAACCTCTGGAGCCTGCTCCCCAGCTGCATGCCCTTGGAGCTGCCCCAGAGTGCTTGGCCCGCCCGCAGCCCGGACAGGACAGTCGAGCGCTGGATGTGAAGCATCTCAGAGGCCCACCCATCCTGGGAGCAAGAGTGGCCCCTGGGAGCCCGTCCCTCACAAACCTTACGGACCGAGGGGGCCTGCCTGGCTGCAGACGCAGGGGCCTGGCGGCCTTGGGCCCCTTGGGGCTGACAGGTGAGCCTGCCCCCACTCTAGTAGCCAGTCAAGGGTTGGACGGAAGGCAGAAGGACCTACTGTGGCCGGGCACTCTCTGCATCCTGCCCACCAGGGCCCACCCAGCCAGCAGAGCCCAGTCGCGAGGAAACAGCACCTTGCGCTGGTCGAAGTCTGCCAGGGCCCCCCCAGCCGGCAGCACAGCCAGGATGCCCAGGACGATGCTCAGCGTGCTGGACTCCATAGCACAGCTCCCGCCTCTGTGCCCACGGCAGCAGGGTTATATTGGCGAGCGGAACGTGTGTGCAGCCACCCAGAGAGTGAGCGCGTCCCCGGGCCACCCTGACTGCTGCCTGCCCTGAGATGCCCGGTGATTCTGCACTGGAGCCACCTGGCCAGCGACACCCACAGCCCGGAAGTCAGCAGAGGCTAGCGTGAGGATGGAGTGACACTGCCGCGTGGCCATCAGGGCCTGGGGACAGGAAGCCCGCCTCCACAGGGGACATAGGCCGTGGCTATGCCCTGTCCACCAGGGGCCACAGTGACGGCCAGCGCTCAGCCTTGACAAGCAGCCTCCTGGAGCCAGAGGGCACCTGGCCACAGCCTCCAGCCTCCTCCCGATGGGCTCTCCGAACCCCCCAAAACAACACGATCATGTTTTCTGCTGACCCCAGCACCAGATTTGTGACTCAGGGACCAGCAGAGATGGAAATGCAGGCAGAGGGCTGGAGAGATGGCTCAGTGGTCTAAAGCACCTACTTGAAACAAGCTTGGCAAAGCACAGGGACCGCGGTTCGATCCCCAGCACCACATGCCAGCCAGACCCGTCCCCTGGTGGGCTGAGCTGGCCACACACACACACAATAAATAAATGTAATAAATAAAAATAAATAAATAATTTAAAAAAAAAAAAAAAAAGAAATGCAGGCAGAGCCCATGTCCTGGTCCCTGCTTCTTGAGGGGGGCGTGACAAACCCTCAGGATAGAAGAGACTCAGGCCTCCAGGTACCAGCCGGGCTGCAGTGTGACCCAGGTGAGCTGCTCTACCTCAGTTTCCCCATATGTAACAACAATGACTTTGAGGATATGACAAGTCCTGCCTGACCCTCACCTCCTTGACCCCTGCACTCCTGGGACCAGCTCCAAGCTGTCCTTTGATCCCCCACACAGTGTCCAACGATCTTCCTTGTGCTACGACCTCTCAGATCACAGATTTTTTTTTTAAGGCAAATTATTTTTATTTTCAAAAACATCTTTATCTGTAGAAATAAGATTTAAACAATAAAACCCCCCTCCCTACTTCACCTAAGGAAAGGGCAAGAGAGGCCAAGCGTGGCTGTGGAGGGACAAGCTCTGGTGCTCATGCCACAGAGGGCCATGGCCTCCACTTCCTGGCTTCCCACAGCAGAGGCGACACAAGACCTGGTCCTGGGGTCAGCCTTCCCTCCTCAGGCCTGGGCTGGAGGGCAGGGGACTCCACTGCTGTGGGTACCAAATAGGCTGTCAGGCAGGGGGACAAGCAAGAGAGAACAGGCAGAGCTGCTGTCATGCAGGGACAAGGGGGCTGGGGAGGGGTGGTGGGAGAAGGTGCTATGGGGACAGATGGGGCCAGGCAGGAGTGGGAGGACAGGCGCGGCCTGGGGGCAGCCAGCTGCCTGGTGCTCGGGGCGTCTGATTGCTTCCCCGCCTATGCCGGGAGGGCGCGGGCGCTGAGCAGAAATGGACCAGAACCCCAAGCTTCCTGCTGCCTACTCCTGGCCCTCTGAAGCATAAATGCTGGAACCATCCGGTGAACCAGGGCACAGCGTTGGGTGAGGACCACAGCAGTGGGCACCCAGGAGGGACCTCCCACATCTCACACAATGGGACAGCATAAGCCCCCTCCCCAGAGCCAATCCCAAGATTGAACTGGCTGTGTGACCTCAAACCACCTACCGTGCCTCTCTGTGCTCTTTATGCTGCTCTGAGGAATAAGATGGGTTGGTCCTGTGCGTCCGGGGCTCTGTCACAGAGCACACCGTTGGCCAGCGGGCCAAGGCCAGGACCCGTGCTGGGCTCAGTCCTGGCCCTTTCCAGGACTCCTGGAGGCTTAAGCCATGAGCCTAGATCCCAGCGACAGCAGAGCCGGAACCCACTCACTGTGCCCCGAGAGCCTGCACCTGAGCGACCAGCGGAGCCCCGGTGGTCAGGGCCACCTTATTGGGTCACCACAGCTTCCGACTCCCTTGGTCAGGAGGCCCAAGGAACCAAGTCTCCTTGCCACCTCCCTTGGTCTCAGTCTCCCCAGGAGGTCTGGGTTCAAGACAGAGGCCACTACACCCTTCCCAAGGCCATCCCCAAAGGGGTGAGAAGCTGTGAGGCTGCAAAGTCTGTTTATTGGTTGGGACAGGGGAGGCAGGAGGTTGGGGGTGGCCCAAGGTGGTCCCCAAGGGCTGCAGGTCTCACTGAGCTCCTAGGGTGGTGAGGTTGCTGCTTCAGAGCCTGCACAGAGAGGCACAGCAACTGCGTCCACCTGCTGCCCCCATGAGCCACCACTGCCCCCCAAGACCTCTGCAGATGTGGACACCCACACCGCTGCTGGGGTTGTCCCAGTTCCTGTCACTTTGGGTGAAAAAGCCAAAGTGATGAATATGCTTGCTCCAGGGTGATATGCCATTGAGCCACCACCACCACCACCCCATGTTCCCAAAGCCACCTCGTGATGGCAGGAGAGGTAACTGTTCCTGGGCTTGTTCCAACCCAGTGTCCCTGGCACCAGAGTAAACAGCCAAGGAGAAGGGAGGCCAGAGCAGAGCTCAACTCAGAAGTCAGCAGGACGAGAAAGAGAGGGACAGAGGGACAGAGAGACAGAGACAGAGACAGAGACACAGACACAGACACAGGACAGAGACAGAGAGAGAAACAGAGACAGAGAGAGGACAAAGCACAGGTCTGAGGGGATGCCCACCCACTCCTTGCCAGGCGGGGTCAGGCTGCAGAGCCACCCATGACTCATGGTCCATGCTGGTGCCCACATTCTTGGTGATGGGCTTGGGCAAGACCCTGTGGCTTTCTGGGGTCCGATCCCCAAGATCTGCCTGCATCAGGGCCCCCAGGGCAGACAGGCAATGAGGCGGTAGCCCTACCCTGATGGGGTCCTGGGGAGGGAGCCCAGAGTGGTGAAGATGAGGGTATGTGGGTTGAATAGTGTCCCCCAAACTTCATAGCTCCAAATCTGAATAGGACTTCATCTGGAAATAATGTCTTTGTAGATGTGGTTGGTTAGGAGTCTCGAGACAGGATTGCCCTGGACTTGGGGTGGACCTAAATCCAATGACGGATGACTATGAGAGGACCTGGGGTGCTGACCACAGCGGGCAGAGGCCAGGTGACACAGGGGCAGAGACTGCAGTGACACTGTGTGGGACAAGGGGCCCCGGTTGGAAGGAGAGGCCAGGCAGGTGTCCAAGAGCCCACGCTCGATCCTGCAGGCTCCTAGACTGTGGCTCTGGGCCCCCAGGACTGGGAGAGACGCGCATCCGCTGTCAGGCCCGGAGTGTGAGGCTCTAGAGCTGAGTCAGAGCGCTTCCAGGGCCGGCGGCGTCTAAGGTGAGGCCTGAGGCCAGGGACTCTCCAGACAGACCCGGGAAGGAGATCTGTGCAGATCTCGGAGACAGGGAGAAGCAAGGGGCGCGGGCAGCCCCGGAAGAACCTGGAGAACTAACCATGCCCCTCGTCTGGGTAGGGTTAGGGCTGGACTCCGGGGCTGTCTGGGTGCCCCCCTGCCAGAGGGAGCACACATCTGTAGGAGCAGATGTTCCTAAGAACCGCCCCACCTTCCGGTGGCCAGACCTGCGCTCCTGCTCTGCAAGGCAAGGCAGGAGGGCGGGCCACACCCGAGCTCCGGGAAGCCGAGGGCGGGAAGGGCGCCTGATCCGGGCAGCCCTAGCCGCCCTGTCGTCCTGGAGCCCCACCGTGGGGTAGAAGTCCGGAAACGCCTTCAGCACTTGGGCGGTGGCGTCCTGGGTGCGGCCTGGGGCAGAGGGAACCCGTGAACGCCCGGCGGCGGGACGGAAGCAGCGTCGGCGCGCTCCCTGGGGCTGGCAGTCTGGCCGCTCCCGCGGGCAGGCTGTGTGCAGTGAGGACTGCCGAGGGCCTCTCCTAAGCACTTCCGGCTGGCTCCAGGGCCGCTCGCCCTCCCGGGCCTGTTCCTAGGGCGTCCCTGCTGCTGTCCCCAATCCCAGTCCTCAGCGGGTCTGCCCCGCCCCACCTAGGGATCCCGGAAAGTCTTCCACTGAGGGCAAGAGGCAGGCAAGGGCGGGTCCCCACCGGCCCACGCCCCACCCCCGGGAGACAAGCGCCAAGTCAGGGCCACCCCTCCGCGTCCACAGCGCAGTGGGACCTGCACCCCGATCCCTGCCAGGCCTGGTCGAGGCCAATGGGGTAGGGTGGGTACGCCAGGGCCTTAGGATCTGGGTGGACTGGATGGTATGATGGGGGCGTCTAGAAACGAGGGGGCGACACGGGCGGGGCGAGGGGTGAGGTGGGGCGGAGCAAAGCTCGCTGGAGCACTGCCTCGTGGTGCTAAGCACCCCCTTCAGGGCCTTGCAGATGTAGGCTGCAGCAAGGAGCTGCAGTCGGTGTTTGCCACGCGCTATCTAGATGACTGCGAGGGGACCGTGGGTCACGAGTCTGATCACCAACCTGCGTGACAGACAGCCCTACCACCGCGACGCAGACGCAGAGAGGGTAGGAAGGGTCCACATACCCTGGTCTGCATCCCAGCACTGAGGACCTGGGACCTTGAAGCACACACACACACACACACACACACACACACACAAATAAAAATTAAAAAAAAATAATAAATCCCACCCTGTCCCATGCAGAGTTGAGCTGTTCCTTTGTCCACTGTCCGTGGTGACAAATAGCCAAGTGTAGGTGTCAAGGTTATCAGGCGACCCTAGAGTATCAGACACAGTGGTGGTATGGTTGCACTTGTGGAGTGTTATTACTGGCTACACTTCACCATAGGGGTGTAAGTAAAGAAAAAAGCATAGTTTATGTAGGCTTCCACGCCATCTAAGGTGTTGAGCATCCACCAGGATCTGGGAAAGAGCCCCAGGACAGAAGGCTCTGCCCCACCATGAGAGTGTGGGTGTGGGTGTGTGGGTGTGTGTGTACATACGTGCACACAGCCATGTGATAAAATCTTCCTCCCATCCCGTGGTAAAATGCCACCTCCTGGATTTAGATTTGGGGACGCCCAAAGGCTGTGAGGCCTAAAGGCAGCCTCTGAGGAGGGTGGGCCCTGTGGGTGGCCGCGAAGTTGAGAGGGGCTACAGCATCTGGAGACTTCCTCAACCTGACTCTCAGGCTGAGCCCTGGCGGAGGGAACCAGAACAGTGGGGAGCAGGGTGGGTGCTGCAGCCCTTAGGCAGAGTCCTGCCTCTCCATCTCTCCATGTCCTCTGTGACCTCCAGCCCCTCAGCCAATAAAACATGCACACTCCCCGAGCCTCCAGCCTGCTTTGGTGACCCCTCTGCTGGGTCCCAGTGCGGTGCCATCCTTCCCCCGAGCTGCCGGCCTGCTTTGGTGACCCCTCTGCCGGGCCCTGGTGTGGTGCCATCCTTCCCTCCATAAAGTCCTCCTGCCACCCTCCCCAAAGTCCGGCCTCCTGGCATGGCAGATGTCTAAGTTACTCTTCTCTCGTTGCTGGGCCAAAATACCCGACACCCAAAATTAAGGAAGGAAAGGTTTATTTAGCTCACAGTTGTGGAGGCTTCAGTCCATACTGGGCTGGCTCCAAGGCAGAGCGGCACATGGCAGAGGGCAGCTGTTCACGGTGGAAGAAAAAACCAGCAAGAGCAAAAGGGAGGAGCAGCGGCAACAAAGGCAACAGAGAGCAAGTCTCTCTCCTCCTTATACTGCCTCCAGGCTCTCCGCTCCGGGCTGGGTGTAACACTCGCACCCAGAACCCCAGCAGCACTCAGACCCATGATCCCAGCCTCCGACCATGAATTAATCACAAACTGTAGATCCACACCCCATGACTGCATGAGGCTTTGGGGGGACACCTAGCCACAAAGTGTAACAGCAGAGCAGGCACCCGTCATGCACAGCAAATGCCCGTAACCCCACAAAACCCAGCCACAGCCCCATGTCTGACAAGCTTGCCTGGCAGCCCTTTGCCCCTTCCTCACCCCTTGTCCCTTAGCACCTCCTGCTCCCTGGGGTCCTCCTTCCCCATCACCTGGGCCAGCACCAGGCGTGACCCACATAGTCACCTCCTCCCTCACACACATGCACAGGGAGCTGTGTGGGAGCGTGTGTCAACGTACCACCCAGCCCCAAGCAGGGCCCGGACAGTGTTGTCCTGACACCGGCTAAATGGAGAGCAGTGGGTGGAGCTAGAGGCCTGGAAGAGGGCTTGGCAAAATCAGCACCTCACATGCCAGGCAGGGCCTCACAGCACCCAGCCCTAAGTGCCCATCAGAGATGCAGCTGCCAGGGCCAGGTGTGGGGCAAGGTCACCACACACCTGCTGTATCTTCAGGAGGCTAGTGGGCAGGGCTCAGGAGGACCAGGTGGACGTGCGTCCCTGGGTGCCAGGTGCAGCCCAGGAGTGGTTACAGGGTGCCAGCTAAGAGCCATGCATGGATGCCCTGCTGGCATGGGTCCTGGAACAGTACAGTCTTGCTTTGTGGTGGTGCCAGGGCTAAAACCACTATGTGGGTGCACAGTGTGGTCTAGCCACAGGGCAGTGTGGATTAAAAGGGAGGAAGGCTGCTTTCCCCATGCCCTGCTGTGCCTTGGAAATACCCTCAGTGAAGTCCAGACACCCCATCCCTTGCCCAGAAGAGGGGCTCGGGGCTCCCTGTGTCAGACCGGTGAGCGGCCTCTGCTCACCCACCTGACTGCTGTGGCCGCACAGGGGCTGCACCTGGCTGCTCGTGCTCCCAGGGCCCAGAGCTGCAAGGACACGCTGGCTGGGGGCAGTGTCCTGACCAGCTGATACCATCTGCCTCCCCGACAGTTTGTCCCCTGTGCGTTCCCTGCCCTATGGGCAAAGGCGGGCAGGGTGTGGGCTGTCCCCGAGTGCCTGTTCCCCAGGGCCCAGGTCCACAGCCATTGGCCATCCCACTGCACCATGGGTTTTCCAGTGACGAGTGGACAGTTCTGTGGGCTTCAGAAACCAGGAATCCTATGAGAGAGGTTTTGGCAACCAGGGCAGAGTCCTGGTTGGGCAACAACCCACAGCTGCTCACAGCTGGAGATTAGGCTGCAGCACCTGAGCCAGCCCCAGATTCCCCGTCAAGAGGGACAGGTCACCCTCCAGTCCTGGTCCTCCCCTGGGCCAGGGCTCAGCCCTCTTGCCCTCTTTCCACCCCCAGGGTCCGGGTGCCAGGGGCTCTGGGTTAATCTGCAGTACTTTCCAGGGGAAGCCTCCTACGCCAGGTACATCTCATTCCGGAGCAGTTCAGGCAGGTGCTGGAACACGGAGGTAGATCCCTAGAAGTATGGCAGCACAGCTCTTTGCAGGACACCCCCTGCTGAAGCACAGGGACATGGACCTCACGAACCAGGACCAGGACCAGGACAGTGACAGCAACAGCTTGAAGAACTGTGTGTTTCCGTTCAAGGGTGCCACCTCCCTGTCTGCCACAACAGGGCCAATGGCATCAACTGGCTGTCAAGACGGGCACACAACTACTCCTGCAAGTTTGCTGATAAAGATCCGAGCTGCAGAAGGACAGGCCACTGGGCCAGGCTATGTGGGGACACTGATGGAAGGGGTCCCTCAAAGCTACAGAGAGCAGGGTGGCCTGGCAGCTGAGCAGAAGACAGCGAACCAGCAGGCATCTGGGACATGCCCAGAGGGCAAAGCCCCACCTCCTAGGCATGGGCACACTGAGGCCCAGGGACTGAGGCTTGGCTGAGACCCTGTCACTCCCAAGAGATAAGGCACACCCTCCCCAGAAAGGGCAGAGGGGAGGACTAAGGTACAGTCCAGCAACTCTGGGACCAGGGTGTCGAAACTAAGGCCAGGGCCAAGCAAGTGGGCACAAGGCAAGGAGCCCACAAGCGGCCAGCAGGCCAGGGGCTCCCCAGCCTTGCTCACCATTTACCCAGCCTGAGCGTTGTCCCAGGGCCAAAGGGGGTCCTGGAGGGAGGGCACAGCTGGGCTAGCAGAGGGGCCAGGGGAGGCACACCACTCGCCACTCGCAGCAAGGCAGCAGGGTCAGGGTAGCTCAGCAGGTGCAGGCCGGTGGGCCAGGGCAGCAGCGGTGTGGCCCGCACTCCCGTGGCTGCCGGCTCTGCCACCTGGGGCAAGCGGCCGGTTCAGGGAGGGCAGAGCGCTGAGTGAGTTGGGCCTTCAGCTCCCGAACAGAACTGGCATCATGAATGGGCCTAACAGTGTTTGTGAATTGCTTTGATAAACATTAATTTTAACCTCACCAGTCCTTGATCCCTTTCAAGAAACTCCGCTCCAGACCACAGTCCAGAACCAAAGCGCCTTCCACACAAATAGGGCACAAAGCATCGCGCTGCTAGGACGGCGTCCCCCTTTGCACCCAGAGGGGGCCGACCCGCCCGGCCGCACCGCTCCGCTCCGCGCCCCGCCCCCGGCCTCGGCCGCACCCCTCCCGGTCCCGCCCCTCCGGTGCCCGAGCGCGCCCCCGGCCACCCGCAGACCCGGCTCCGCCCCTGCCCTCGGCGCAGGCGCGCCCGCCGCCCGCCCGGCCATGGTGAACCTGGGCCTGTCCCGCGTGGACGACGCCGTGGCCGCCCGGCACCCGGTGAGAAGGCCGCCCTGAGACGAGCGCCCCACGCCTCAGCTGGCCGGAACAGGGAGGAGGGGCGGGCGGGGCCTCCTGCCACAGCCTAGCGCACCTTGTAGGGTCTGGGGACGTGGCCAGGCCCGGCCGGCACCCCGAGACGCGGGGACGGGGAGGGAGGCGGGACGGGCGCTGATCCGTGGCCCCGCACCCCCACCCAGGGACTCGGGGAGTACGCCGCGTGCCAGTCCAACGCCCTCGTGAAGGGCGTGCTCACCTTCGTAGCAGGTAGGCCCGCGCAGGTGCTCTGCGATGGGAGCGCGCGCCCTCGCGTCTCACCCTCCGGCCCCGGCAGGTGGCGCCGAGTCCCCTGCCTGCGGGTGCACCGGGCACCCGGGTGGGTCCCCGACTGGCGCTGGCTGAGCGCGGCACCTTGGCTCTCTAGGCACTGGCGGGACCTTCGGCCTGCAGCTTCTCATCCAGAGAAAGTTTCCCTACGCGATGCGGTGGAGCGTCCTGGCGGCCGTCGGTGGGTACTCCAGGGTGGCCGCCTGGGCCCTGGCCTGGCTCTTCAGCCAGGGAGGGTTTCTGCCGAGGAGGAGGTGCACCCTGCCCTGGTGGGGGGCTGCCTTTTGCTTGGGAGCCCTGCCCAAGCCCACCAGTCGTGACTGCCATAAGTAGCCTGTGCCCCGTCCCCAACCTGAGAGGCATGGGCCTCAGACTCCTGCTTCCTGGTCCCCAGTTGCAGGCTCTGTGGCCAGCTATGGGGTGACCAGAGTAGAGACCCAGAAATGCAGCAACCTCTGGCTCTTCCTGGAGACGGGGCAGCTGCCCAAAGACATGGAGACAGGTGAGAGGGCCTGAGGGCCAGGGAGACAGGGGTGCTGGGTCCCTGGAGTTCGCGGCAGTCAAGTCCAGGGTATCCTAGTAACAGGCTGGACAGGCTCTCCCTCTGGATGCCCAACATCCTGGAAGGGCTGGAGTGGAAGTGGGCCCTGCAGGAAGCTGGGGTGACCCAGAGGGAAGAGCAGAGTCGGGCGTGCAGAAAGAGACCCTCTCCAAGAGACCCGCATCCCACACCAGCTGACAAATCCCAAGCCGGCTGTCCTTGTTACAGGACCCAGTTTTTGCAATGACAAAATGAGGGCAGGGACCCTGAGCAGGCGCTGACATGGTTCCAGCTGTCTCCCATCACCTCTTACAGGTCAGTCCCGATAGGAGAGCTGCAGGCAGGGTGAGATCTGGGGCAGGAGTTCTGGAACGCGGTCCTCAGCACCCCCAATGCCAGAGCACCTCATACACATGTGACCAGGCCTGACAAACTTGCTGCTGCTGCTGCTGCTGCTGCTGCCACCACCCGCACCCAGGGCCGGCCCAGACCGGCCCAGCAGGGGATTCTCCTCAGGGTCAGCGGTCGAGCCTAGAAGGTTGTGACCTGCTGCGCATGTTGCAGCCAGCAGTCAAGTGTGGTGGACAGGACTTGTGTACCCTCTGACACTGTGGTGTCCACCTGTCTTCTCCCCAGCGAGCCCAAGCTGGCGCTAGGGTGTCAGGTAATAAACAGCTTGCCTTGCTTCCCACTTACTACGGCTTGTGTCCAGATGCCCACCTAAAGCCTCCTGCAGTCACAGGTGGAGCTTTTTCTGGATCTAGAATGTGTGATACTGGGTTTGATTCATGGTGCAGTGCTAGGAGAAAGGGCACTAGGACTAAGGGTGTGAGTGCTACCCGCCCTAAGTAGCCTGGATAAGATGTAAGGGACAGGAAGCCTGTGGTCTCTTGCTTGCTTTGCTGCCTTCGGCCGGCCGCCGTGAACTGTCTCTCCTCCTCGATGCCTGTCAGCCAGAGCACCCTGCCTTGGACCCAGCTGTGGACTGAAACTGCTACAAACTGAGAACAAAATAAACTTTTCCTCCCTAGCTTTGGACCTCAGGTATTTTGTCTCAGCAATGAGAACAGTAATTAAGATATCACCTAACAGGGCTGGTGAGATGGCTCAGTGGTCTAAAGCACCTACTTAGAACAAGCTAAGCTAAACAAAAGTATAGGGACCCCGGTTCAATCCCCCAGCACCACATGCCAGCCAGCCCCGCCCCCTGGTGGGCTGAGCTGGCCACACACACACAAAATAAATAAATAAATTAATTAATTAAAAAAAAATATCACCTAAGCTCTAAAGCAGTTAAGAAACAAGGCATAAGAGGAATTCAGGTGTCTGGTAGGTTCTGGCCCAAGTATAAATTGCTAAATTATTATGGTGGTCACCTGAGAGGGCTGAAGCCCAGAAACAACAGCTTATCTTTCCAATGCCCACTTCCTCCATCTGCCCTACTCCAGCCCTGGATACCTTCCTGTGCACACAAGGGAGCCCCCGTCAGCTCCTCAGGGGTCACTAAGCTGCAAAAGTCGGAAAAGTCTCAGCCTCCCTTTGTCCCAGGTCAGAGGATCCCCCAGCTCCCTGCCATCAATTCTTTCTGTGTCTTCAGAGCTAATAAAGGCTGCCCCCCTTTTATTTCTGCCTCTCTTGTCACACCCCTAGAAAAAACCTAACAGTGTCACCTTTATGACCAGCTGGTGCTGCAGGAGGTACAGGAGAGCTCCCAGTGTGCAAACCCAGAGTTGGGAGTTCCTGCTGGTCCCAGGGGCTGTGCAAGACCACAGGGGCCCAGGGTGGGAAGCAGAGCGGAGGAGTGGGGAGGCAGAACCTGCCCTGGCTTCGAGTCGTGGGGGCCCCACCCGGCCTCTCCTCCCAGACACCCCAGCCCACCGGAGCTCTGTCCACAAGGCAGGCCGAGTCTCCTACATCCACAGCACCACAGCACCCAGCCACCAGAGGAAGACACAGAAGCTGTGTACAACCTGGCTTCTCAGTGACCCTGGAAGGGCCACCTTCAGCCCCACTCACCCCAGCCCCCAGCACACAGCGGGTTGTCTGCAGAGGCTGCCCTGTCCAGTCAGGAGGAAGACAGCAGTGTAGGCCACGCCCCCAGCAGCTCCAGCTCCTCAGAGTTGTCTTCACAGTCTGCTTTCTGCTGCCCACAGCACAGTATGGATTGGATGAGTCACTGAGGAAAGGGTTTTCTTGCGCCGTTCTGGTCCAAGGCGGAGAGCCTGTTTGCTTCATAGGGGTTTGTTTTGCAGTACTGGGGATTGAACTCGGGACCTTGCATTTTCTAGGCAGGTGCTTATGCCACTGAGCTATCTCCCCAGCCCTCTTTTTTGTCTTTTTGAAACAGGGTCTCACTATGCAGCTCAGGCTGGTCTTTTTTTTAAAATATTTATTTACGTTTATTTATTACATTTATTTATTGTGTGTGTGTGGCCAGCTCAGCCCACCAGGGGGCGGGGCTGGCTGGCATGTGGTGCTGGAGGATTGAACCGCGGTCCCTGATGCTTTGCCAAGCTTGTTTCAAGTAGGTGCTTTAGACCACTGAGCCATCTCTCCAGCCCTCAGGCTGGTCTTGAGCTCACTTTGTAGCCCAGGCTGGTCTCAAACTTGCAGTGATCCTCCTGCCTCAGCCTCCAGCGTGCTGGGATCACAGGCATGCACCAACACTCCAGTCCTTTTTTTTTTTTTTTTTTTGTGGCACCAGGGATCAAACTCAGGAACTTGCACTTGCCAGGCACTTAATCCACTGAGCTATCTCCTGGACCCCAAGGCCTTTTTTTTTTTTTTTTTAGACAGAATCTCCCCATGTAGTTCAGGCTGGCCTCAAACTCAGTGATTCTCCTGCCTCAGCCTTCCAAGTGCTGAAATTATAGACATGTGCCACCAGCCCTGCTGGTGACGGCCATCTTACTGGCAGAATCTGGAGGTGGCACAGGCATCCCATCCAGAGGCACCACACGCACCTGCACCTTCTGGCCTCTCCTTTCTTATGCAGCCACCACCATCTAACAGCTGCCCCGCTAACTTAGCGCAGCCCCTCCCACTTCTCACACCATGGTTGAAGTTTCCACTTTGATACCTCTCAATGAGGACTAAACTCCAGCAGGGAGGACAGATCACGTTCAAACCACAGCAGTGGAAAGGGCTGTTTGCAGTCAGGGACCCAGGCTCCTTTTAAACTGTTCCTCACTGCAATGGGGCCCACCCCAAATCCACCTCATGGTTCCGTATGGCTGCACCAGCTCTGGCCACTGCATCTTCATTTACTAGGAAGAAGTAGAGAAGAGGGCAGTTCAGCCACCCTCCTATTTATACATTATGAGCCCAAACCAATCACGTGATACATTTGCTGTAAGCACACCCAGGAAGGCAGCCTTCCTCTGCATCGCCACGCATGGTTCCACCAAATCTCTGGGAGTCATGAGGGAGGATGAGGAGCCCACACAGGGCCAGGAGGTCAGCTCTGCTCAGCCAGGCACTCTGCGGGCTCCCCAGGAGCCGAAGGAGGTGGGCAGAGCATGCCCATGGTAGGTCCTTCAGCCCCGAGGGCAAGGCCTGGGCTCAGGTGGCAGGTGAGTGCAGGGCTTTAGGCTAACTGGTGAGTGGCGGGGGGGAGGGGTTGTATCCACATCTGCCAGTGTACACTGTGGTCTGTGGTGGCCCCAGGACCTGTCCAGAGCATGGATGTTTGAGGACAGGTCCTTGAACAGGGGACTGAGGGTAAATGGGGCTGGGCGTGCTAATCCAGGCCACTGAAGTCCTGAGAAGAGACGATTAGAAGACACACGTTTCGCGCCCAGGGGACAAGTACAAGAGGACACAGGAAAGCCCAGAAAGGAGAGGTCTTAACCAGCCTTCAATACCTCGGGACAGAGAGAACATCTGTCACACACAGCTGTCCCTGGTACTCTCAGAGAAGGGCTGCCAGAGCAGGTCAGGGACACTTGCTGTCTCCTGCACCCCACAGAGCTGCCAGAACCGGCCCCTCCTGGAGAAGCAGTCTCTGCACCAAGGCCAGGATGCTGAGGGCAGGAGAGGCCCAGCAAGTCAGGGGGATGAGGGGAAAGAGTCGGCTAAGTGCGAGGCTGCGGCGTGAGCCTGGCCGCCCTGGGCGCAGGCTTTCAACTGTGTGTGAATGGGGAAATAAAGGCAAGCAAAGACCTGCTGAGGAGGCTCCACGCGGTGCCTTACAGAACTGGCCCTGGGGCACGGGAGGGACGCGGAAGGTGCAGGGTGCTGTACCAAGCCAGCCCAAATCCTACCACTCCCAAAAGGCGCCCTGGCCCAGACACACTGCTCCGCAGTCCTCAGCCACCACACAGTCTACTCTGCCACTGGGGTGGGGCCGGAATCCAGGGTTCCTGGCCTTGAGAATTTGGTCCCATCACAATGGCCTGAAATTCCAGGAACAATCTGCACCTTGGCTCTGCTGAGCAGGCCGCCCACAGGAAAGGCGAGAGGTGCACTGGGCCCTGAGGAGCCGGTGGGCCACCATGAAGGTGAACAAAGAGGCAAACGTGGAGGGACAGATACAGGAGCTGAAGACCATCACCCGGCTCCAAGGTGAGCCTCGTTCTAGGAAGCCTGCACCCAGCTGCCCCAAGCAGGGATTCCTGGCAGGGCTTTCAGGGTCAACACCTGTGACATAGTGGGACAGGCAACTGGTCATCCTACTGCCAGCACCCAGCCCCTGGGGCTGCCCCAAGAAAGGGGCTACACAAGGAGGGGGCTTTGAAAGGATGTGTGGGCACATCCTGGGGCAACAAGGCCAGGAAGGAACCCAGACAAAAAGGATGCCTCTACCCAGGGCTCACTCTCTCCCCTGCCAGCACGCCCTCCACAGAGAGCCTTGGGGTGCAGTGGAGCACACATCCGCACTAGGAAGGGCAGAAGAGCAGAGGAAGGCGAGGCCCATCCTCCTGGTCTCCCCAACCGGGCCAGGCCCTGGACCAACACCTTAGCCACCCTGTCTTTTTCACTGCCCACAGAACATTGTCGGGCGCTCCAGAACCAGGCAGTGAAGGAGAAGACAACGCAGAACAAGGCTACTCTGGGCCTGCTGCGCAGCAACATCCGCCGAGGGGCGCACGAGTGGGCTTCGGCCAAGAAGGTGTCCAAGCCCCACCCTCCAGCCACTGGGAAGCGGCAAACACGAGGGTGGGACGCACGAGAGGGCGTGCACAGACCATGTCGCCCTGGGCTGGGTGCGCGCGGGACTCGCACCCACCCCAGCCCGGCCCAGCCCGCGAGCACTTGTCTGCTGCGGCTCTCCCGTTCCGGGGACTCGGCCCTGATCCCCTACCCGCCTGAGTGCACCGCTGCCGTGGCTCCAGGAGCGGGACTTCTGCCGGGGTAAAGCGGCACCAAGGAGGCACCCAGCTGACGCGTCCCCCCGCCCCGCCCGCAGCACGACCAGCGCGCCATCGCCAAGGCCTGCGGGAAGGACCTGCCCACGAGGCTGGCACACGGCCGCAGCACCATGGAGGTACGGCGGCACGCAGGTGGCCGAGGGTTGCGGGAGTCCGCAGGGGCAGCCCGGCGACCCTCCTGACCCTCGGCGCCCCTCGAGCACCCATTAACACCCCCACCAGGTGGCGCGGGAGAAGCTGCGCAAGTCCGTCTTCGACCGCGTGAACGTGCACAACGCGCTGATTCACTTGGTGCGGCGGCGCGGGCAGCAGCTGGAGAGCATGGACCTGGAGCTGGCGCGCCTGCGCAGCCAGGCCGAGGCCACCAAGGAGCAGGCGCGGCTGCTGCAGGTGGGCGGGGCCTCTGGGCGGGGGCGACCCGGCGGGCTAGGCCGCAGCATCAGGGGGCGTGCCTCTGCGTGGGGCGGGCTCCCAGGGACAGGTGCAGTGGGTGC